GTTTTTAGTATCTTCCGCAGTCTTTTCTACGTTACACAGATCTTCTTGGAGACAGTTTATAAAAAAATTAGACATTTTACATAAATATTACAAAGTTGAAGACGACAATCTTGTAAAATCTCTAGCTGGAGTAACAAGATTTATTATAATACATGGAATTTTATTTTATTTTTCTTACTTGATCTACGAATTTCAAGTTAAAGCTATTGGTACTTTGTCTGCAATATTTTTATCTCTACCTAGTTTACAGTTGACTTACCAATATCTACAAATGACCACCATGTTGGTTCTGATAAAAGAAATTAAGAGAAACCTTCGAAATGTTTCTAAACATTTAGAACTTGAACAGATAAACATAACGAAGGCAAAAATATGCTACTTAAATACACAGAAAGGTGTTAGATGCTTTAATAAAATTTTTGGGTATCAGATATTTGTCAGTTTTGGTTACTGGATATTGGTTTTTCAAACAATATTTTTATATCTAGCTGAGAATTCCAAGAATCGTTACGATGTCGCTATAAACCTCAAATTGATGTTTCTTTTTGTAGTATTTTTTACCATAACTTCGGTATGTATGAGACGCATTTCTTTTTAGTTTTGATAATAACTTTTAAAATTTTTTAGGCAAGTCTCTTTGCTGTTATTTTTTCCTGTGATCGCACATCAGCAGAATCTAATAAACTGATAGACAATATCTATGATTTGCAAGAAAAATTTCAAAGAAAATCTTGGGAATATATGGAACTGGAGTCTCTTATTTTCTATATTCAAAATAATAAATTGTCTTTTACTGCGGCTGATTTATTTGAACTCAAACGCTCACCTATTCTAGCACTGATTGCTACATCTACAACCCAATTTACAGCTTTAATTCAATTTTATAAATAAAAACGTTTTCACATTGATAAAAAGATCAAAATAAATGTTATTTGTAACATAATATGTTACTGTTTTAATTTATCAATTATTAATAATCATAACAGTATTTTTTATTTGTATTAAAGAAACACATTAACGCAAATTAACGTATAAATATTTAATTAACTCAATAATTTTACTTTTGTCGTTTTTCGTTTGGAGAATAAAGTTAATCATGAAGTTATCGTTTAGAGAACTATTTTATAGAGCATTTTTACGGTATGTAGGATGGTTAGGACTAATTCCAGTGTTTGATTTTGAGTCCAACGACTTCAGATCTACACCTACATGGTGTTACATTAAAGTAATAATTATTTGCATTATTGTGACTGCAATAATGAGCTTTGTTATTATTAAACAAAATATTATTCTGAGGAATCAAAATATTAATATTGTAGCTATGACTGTGAGTAATGCGTTGAATGTGATAGATGTGTTTTTAGTATCTTCCGCAGTCTTTTCTACGTTACACAGATCTTCTTGGAGACAGTTTATAAAAAAAAATTAGACATTTTACATAAATATTACAAAGTTGAAGACGACAATCTTGTAAAAATCTCTAGCTGGAGTAACAAGATTTATTATAATACATGGAATTTTATTTTATTTTTCTTACTTGATCTACGAATTTCAAGTTAAAGCTATTGGTACTTTGTCTGCAATATTTTTTATCTCTACCTAGTTTACAGTTGACTTACCAATATCTACAAATGACCACCATGTTGGTTCTGATAAAAAGAAATTAAGAGAAACCTTCGAAAATGTTTCTAAACATTTAGAACTTGAACAGATAAACATAACGAAGGCAAAAAATATGCTACTTAAATACACAGAAAGGTGTTAGATGCTTTAATAAAATTTTTGGGTATCAGATATTTGTCAGTTTTGGTTACTGGATATTGGTTTTTCAAACAATATTTTTATATCAAGCTGAGAATTCCAAGAATCGTTACGATGTCGCTATAAACCTCAAATTGATGTTTCTTTTTGTAGTATTTTTTACCATAACTTCGGTATGTATGAGACGCATTTCTTTTTTAGTTTTGATAATAACTTTAAAATTTTTTAGGCAAGTCTCTTTGCTGTTATTTTTTCCTGTGATCGCACATCAGCAGAATCTAATAAACTGATAGACAATATCTATGATTTGCAAGCAAAGTTTCAAAGAAATTCTTGGGAATATATGGAGCTGGAGTCTCTTATTTTCTATATTCAAAATAATAAATTTTCAGCAATTGTAAATTTACTGCAGCTGATTTGTTTGAAATCAAACGCTCATCTATTCTAGCATTAATTGCTACATCTACAACCCAATTTATAGCTTTAATTCAATTTTATAAATAAAAAACGTTTTCACATTGATAAAAAATCAAATAATACGAAAAATACAGGGTGTCCCAGGAATAAGTGCAAGTATTTTAAGGGGTGGTAGATCTCGATAAAAGAAACATATTTTCTCTTCATCGTTTTTCAAATAAGTCGGAGTTATTTTACTTTGAAAATTTCCAAAAAAAAATGATTTTTTGCTAAAATTTTGAGAACCACTGGATCTTTTCTGGATTCTCTTTCTTGTAAATTTAATCTAATGCCTATGTTGCCATATTATCATTTTTCAAAAAATTTCGAGTTTTCAAAATTTTTTTTCGCGAAAAAACCTCATAGGCGTGTTTCTGGGGTTGAACTATACCACCAGTTAAAATACTTGCACTTATTTCTGGGACACACTGTATATGACTTTTAGACACAATAAGAAATGTTTTATACGATTACAAAATAAATATATTTAAAACATATTATATATCAAACGAAATACCGTATAACAAAAAACGGCGTCAAGATGGCTTGAAAAAATCGATGACATACGACATATAATTTTATGTTATAAAATGATGACAGTAATCTTAATTTTCTAACGCTATTTTCAATTGTAAGTTACCTATGTATTATTTATATTCAATTGCACACTAACTTAACTATCGCAATCATAGTTGATTAGAATAAATATATTTTTTTAGTAATTTTGTAACTGATTTTTTTTTTTTGATTAAATATCAAAGTTGCAAAAAACTGAAGTAAAATTGAACTACCGATTATCAATTTGTTTTCTTCTCTATATACAGGGTGGCTCAGGCTTCCGAAAAAGCTCTATATTAGGATTTAAATTTGTGACTTTCATTTTATTTTTTTGATGTAATGTGGTAACGCACATTTTGAAAATATTTTTAACAAGCGATACAAAGTAATTCAAACATATTTTGCGAACTAATGTTGTATATTTGTAAATAGAATACTATACAGAGTGCTACAAATTCCGAATAGAGCAATATCGGTATATCGGAAACCGCAATAGATACGAAGATAGTTAAATTGAGGTAATGTTGCGCCTTCGGATGTTCACCAAGATGCCATCAAAAAAGTTTTAAAAATTTCAAGGATTGCTTAGTTTTTTGAAAAAAAAACGGATTTTTTTGAAAATCAATTTTATGTTTTCCTGCCGTTACTTTTTAGAAAATCAAAAAAACTTATATTGCACATTCTCATAACCACTTTATTAGGGCTATCTGATAGCATTTTTATATTTTCAAATTAGCTGATAATGTGTGAGATACACAGGCCAAATTAATTTTTTTTAAATACGGACTTCACTTTTTATATTATGTTTAGAAAGAGCTCGGTCACACTAATACTTTTTTTTGTTTTGGGTACCTTAACAAGAACAAAACTATTTAATTATTATTTAAAATAATTTCAAGTCCGCCTCTGATTTTTTTTAATTATTTAATCTGATTATATTCATCGGAACAATATTGATCAGCGCTAATTAACATTGAATAAGGAAAATCGAGCCAATTGAAAGATTCAAAATAAATAATATCCAAGTCAGCAATTTAAAGTTATTAATTGAGGCGCTTAGAATAAAAGGGATACAAGTCACTTTTTTCTTAATGTAGATTTAGATAATTTAGGCATCAATTTATTTTATATAAAATGGAATTAAGTAAATTTTTCAGTGGCACTAAAAGTAGAGTAGAGTGTAGAATTTACTTAATTTCCTTTTATACTAAATAAATTGGTATCTAAAGTGTCTAAATCTGTACTTAAGTCCCTTTAGAACAAAAAGTCACTTCTATACCTTTTATTCTAAGCCCATCAATTTTAACATTTTTTATTGTGAATTTAAAATCTCAGTGTACGATGTAATAATTTCCATAATATTAATCGTAGTTATTATAAATAAATTAACTTCTACAAACTAGTTTCTATTGCTCTACATGTTCGAAAGGGTTACCACCCTTCCTATTGCACAAATTTATTATTCGTTCAATTTTATTTATTGCTCTTTGAACATATCTTCTTATACTTCCGATTGCTTTATTGTGAATACTGAGATGTATTGATTTGCTCTTTTACAAATAACTTCAAGTAACCCCCCCCCCCCTTGGTGACAGGTCCAGGAACCTCGCTGGTCATTATACGTCATTATACGCTCTACCATTTCCAATCCATCTTCCGGAGAAATAATTTTTGGATTGTTTATGTTACATTATATTTATATTATTTATTTTATATTATTTTGTGTTATTTTATTGCATTTGATTTTCCGTATCAATGTTTTACCCCACGTCATTATTAAAGCTTGAAAGCTTATCAATATTGTAACGATGAATGATAATAAATTAAACATTTAAAAAAAACAGAGCCGAACTTGAAAAATACTGATGTTAACAAATAAAATATTTTCAAAATGTGCGTTTCCGCATTACGTTACCATTACCCCCACATTACGTAAAAAAATTGAAATAAAAAACACAATAAAGCAAAAACCTATTATAGAGCTTTTTGGGAAACCTAGGTCACCCTGTATAATTACATTTGTACAAATAATTAAAAGCATTCCATTCATATTGATATACATTAACATTAATTAATGTATAAATAATTAATAGACAATAGATAATTTTATCACTTTTCTGCTTTTCAATTAGTAGACAAAAGAATCATCATGAAGTTATCATCAAAAGAAACCTTTTACAGAGCTTTTTTGCGTTATGTCGGTCGGTTAGGTATAATTCCTGTGCTTGATTTTGACTCAAATAGTTTAAAATTTTCGCCTATCTGGTGCTACATTATAGTAATAAGTGTCTGTTTAACAATAACGATAGTTATGGTATTTGTATTTATCACACTAAACGATTTTCTGGGAAACCATCAACGCGATAAAATAGTATCTTTTGTTGTGAATAATGCAATAATTGTTGTAGATATGCTTCTAATATACTCAGCAGTCATTTCAACCTTACGCAGATCTACTTGGAAAAAATTCATAAAGAAAATGGACCTTTTACATAAATATTATCAATTTCAAGACGATAATCTCATAAAAACTCTAGCTGATGTAATAGGATTTTTTGTAATACATGGAATATTACTTTATATTACGTATCTATTCTACGAATTTCAAGAGAGAGCCGTTAGTACTTTTTCTGCTGTAGTTTTAGCGTTTCCCACTGTGCAATTAACTTATCAGTACCTTCAAATGACTACAATACTGGTTATTATACAGGAAATCAAAAGAAACCTTGAAAAAGTTTCAAAACATGTAGAATTTAAGGGAATGAATCTAAAAAAAGCTAAAATGTGCTACTTGAATACACAGGAAAATGTTAACTGTTTCAATAAAATTTTTGGATATCAGATTTTTCTTAGTTTCGCTTATTGGATTTTGGCTTTTGAATCAATTTGTCTCTATCTATTTGAGAACTATAAACATCGTTATAAAACCACCATAGACTTTGAATTGATTTTCTTTTTTGTAGTGTTTATGAGCTTAATTTCAGTGAGTACCACATTTATTTAAGTTTTGATATTTCATTTTTAAAATTTTAGGCAAGTCTGTTGGCTGTAGTATTTTCCTGTGATGGTATATCTGCTGAATGCAGGAAGTTAATAGACTATATCTCCGATGTACAAGAAATGCTTCATAGGAAATCGCTGGAATATATGGAGCTGGAGTCACTGATTTTCTATATTCAAAACAATCAACTGTCGTTTACTGCAGCTGGTTTCTTTGAAATTAAGAGTTCGTCTGTGTTGGCTTTAATTGCTACGTCTACAACACATTTCATAGCTCTATCGCAATTTTATTAGTTGAACACATATACAGGATAAGTCAAAAGTGCGTCGAGCACTTGTAGCTCCTACAATAAAAAAAACCTAGGAATTTTGTATAAGTGCAAACCTAAAGTATATATTAGGATGTACTTCAGGAATATATTTTAACTTCTAAAGGGTGATCAAAAAAGTGTGAGTGGATCGGGATGATCTCTTTAAATGAAACCCCGCCCTGTATATTATTGCTTTTTTGGCTTCCTTTCTGATCACTTTACATAATCTTAAAATATTATTAAATATGTTTTGACAGTTTCAGAGATATTAATAAATAAATAAAGTGTCTTTTAACCCATTTTAAAAAAATATTAAAAATACATGAAATGTCCTGAAATCAAAACTTTACTAGGCATTTACTATAGTTGGTCTGTACTTACTTTGCTATAAATATTGTAATCTTTAACTGTACAAAATTCATTCATTCATTTGTGTTCAAAATTCTGTGCCAAGCTTTCTAAAATATAAAATAATTTTTCTTCGTTAAATGGTACAATGTCAATGGTGTACTCATCATGTCAACTATAATCAAAGTTAAATTTAAATGAACAAATTACCAAAAAACATTTAAAAAAAAAGTTTATTGTAATATTAGTTGGATTTCGCATGCCATGTAATATCATCGTTGTTACTAATCAATCCCTAAAAAATAAATATCAAGGTTAACAATAAAAAAAAACAAAAACTAATATCACTTTTATTTAAACATATTTACATCATATAAATAAAATTTAACTTAAAGTTGCTTCATTTTTATTTTCTTCTCTTTGCTGTTTTTTTAACATCTGCGTTTCTAGAAAGTCCCTGTACTCAGTTTTTTGTTTGGAAGAACCTGGTACATAATGTCCACCGTCATGTACCACCACCACAGGATCTTTAAAACATAAAGACAAAGCCTCACTCATTTCTGGAAAAAAATATTAAATTCTCAACTACCGAGTTTGAGTTAAAATATTTAATTCTAATAATTTTTACCTGTAGGTATAATTTTATCACTTGTTCCATAAATATGCATAGATGGTAAAGTTATTTCATCCTGATAATACTTTAAATGGGGCCAACTTTGAGACTTAAATCCACTGAACATTATGGCAAAGTTAAACTTTATATGATTTGTCACTAAAAGTATAATATTAATAATAATTGTTAAATAAATTTATAAAATTACCATATTCTTACATCCCACTTGTTGTAGATGACATAAAAGACCTAAAAAACAAGCTCCTTGTGAGAACCCCACAACTCCATCGAAGGGTCCATCCCTTTCAAACACTTGTTCAATAAAATTCACTGAGTCCTCAAAGCCTATTGCAGGTCCTCCATTCCTAATACCTCTATACGTCATATCGTCTCTGTTAAAAAACCAACCGTATTGTTCTACAATGCAATTTGTAATCGTAGTCATATATATAATATACAAAAAATGCTACGAACCTTCATCTTGAGCTTGGCCCACTTCACGGTCCTCTAGAGCGTCTAAATTATCGACCAAAAGTACTTTATGCGGTGCCGTTACATAGTTGAATTGTGCTCTACTGTGGACTAGCTTACGAAAAGAGCCTGTTTTCATTTTGAATACCTCTGCGTTTTGTCGATAGCCATGCAGAACTAAAATTTTCAGTTTCTGGGCTATTGATTCAGGGGTACAGCACATTTTATCTGACTGACTATTCTGCATAATTAAGGAATCTGTATTTAAAATAAATTAATTGGGAAAAAACTACAACTATTCGCTATTTTGACAAATAACATAACCCTAGAAAGTCTTCTTTTTAAAATTTTTGGCGATAAAATTTTATCTTGTAGGAATGGTGTCTTATGGCAAAAATATCGATACGTCATCAAAATGCCCTAAAATTGCAAACTTCTAACCTCACTTTTTGGAAATTGTCACATTTCCAGGTACGTCGAAAATTACGTACCAAAACAAACAGAAAAATGCGTATAGAAACGTGTTATTTCTGTTCTTCCAGGATATTTCCTGGCCACGGCATTCAGTTTGTACGAAACGACTGTAAAGTAAGCTTATTCTTTCCATTTAAACCAGAAAAACACGATTTTTCGAATTAGGTTATGTCTTTTTTAACTTTTGCTTTCTAGATATTCAAATTCTGCCGTTCAAAATGCCATGCAGCCTTCAAAAAGAAAAAGAACCCACGTAAGGTGAAATGGACCAAAGCCTACAGAAAGACAGTGGGTAAAGAGTTGGCAATCGACCCATCTTTTGAGTTTGAGAAAAGAAGACATGTTCCGGTTAAATACAGCAGAGAAACGTTCACAAAGGCTATTGAGGCGATGAAGAAAGTCGAAATTATCAAACAGAAACGACAAGGAGCTTATATTTTACAAAGGTATATAAAGGATAAGGTTTTTTTTTGATAATTTTACCTAAAGAGGTATTTCTTTGTTACAGGTTGCGTAAGGGTAGAGAATTGGAACAAGAAAGAGATGTTAAGGAGGTCCAACGTGACTTGTCACTTATTCGATCACCTGCTGCAGCTCTCAAACAGAAACAAGGTGAGAAAATGTCTGAAGATGAAAGAGAAAGCGATGCTGAAGGTGAACAGATGGAAGGAATCATTGAAGATGGTGGAGAGGTTACTTTGTAAAATAAAATGCAAATATATTCTGTTATGTAAGTTTACTCTGACTTTATTTAATAATTATTATTATCAAAATACAGGATTATACTTGTTTATTACTTTGAACAATTTGATACTGTTGTCATTATTTTTTTGTCACACACAATTTTTGCTTTTTTCTCTCCGATTTCATAACGTAAACCTACAGTGTTTTTTACTGTCTTAAAACAATTATCACATTTTTCAAAAAGTATCACAATGTGTTTTCTATATCAAAGTTAAATTTACTAAATTAGTCTTTGTCTGTAAAAAAATAAGTACCATAAATTAAAACAAATATTTCAATAAATTGCTTGACTTACCAATATATTTGCTAAAAACTGTCATCAAAATGAAACCCAATAGTACCGAAAAAAGCTGTAAAAGTCCCGCATTCCTTTTCAAATGCTGTTTGTGCCATCTTGCACGTTCTCTAGGTAGCACTTCACTCACAGTTACGTATAACAACGTCCCACCTGCCAAAGCCTAAAATACCCAGTGTCTCAACATCACTGTTCCAACTTTATACAACATTTAACAAAAACAAATTACCTGCAAAATAGGTATTATAGTATTTACAAGTTTGTTTGGATTGTCCGCAATTGCCATTCCTAGGACGATACCGCCCATGGATGAGCACGCAAAGACAAGTATACAGAGAAAATGCTTGCAAAAAGTCGTGCAAGTACTGGATGCCAACTCCATACCTAAACAGAAACCGACCACTAGTTTGTGGGATGCCACAGCTGCTAGCAGAAGCAGAACCTAAAAATATTATGTATTTATACAGGGTGTTTCAAAAAACGTGTGCTAGCTCTTGTGGGGAGATTCCTCATGTAAAACTAAGATTTATTTCTTATGTCAATATAGGTCCGATTCTGCTTTGTTTCGTAGCTACAGGGTGTTAAAGTCTTAATTTTTTTCATTTTATTATAATTTTCTTTCAAGTGCTTTTAGCGATTCAAATGAAATTATGATGGTAAAAGTTACTATAAGTGCAACATATTTTAATGCTAAAAAAGTGTCGACATATTAACCAGGGACGTGCATGCGGGTTATCACTGGACTATTTTTCTAAAAATACATGTGCGCCACTGTCCTTTTTCTTTTGTTAGCAAGATATGTAGGCCATTTAATGCTGATTAATAAGTTTTTTTGATATTTTGCCGATTTCAATCTCCTTGATGAATAAACCCAATTTTATTAATTTGGCTTAATCCAAGACTAATAGCAATAATCTTTAAAAAAAAATAATGTCATTAATCCAAAGTGTTAAATAAGTACTCATATTGATTCCTCATAAAAGATATGAAAAAAAGTTCCTATAAACATATGTAGGTGCGGAAATGCATAGTTTTAAAACTACAGAATGTTAAAACTGTTAGCACTGAGCATCAGTGTTATAAATTTTAATAAAATTTAATAAGTATGTTAAATAAAAATAATTAAATTTTATTAATTGTGATTAATAAATTAATCAATCATCGTTTATCTCATCAAGAACATGAATGCCGATTTCCATACAATATTAAGATACAGCTTTTAATCGGTATTAAACGTCCTATACTATTTTGCTGCCAAGAGAAAAAAGTCAGTGGCGCACATGTTTTTTTTAGAAAAATATTCCAGTAATAGCCCAAGAACGGTTAGCTAATAGGATTGCTCATCCTCATAAGACGTACGTTGGCCTCTTCCCGCGTTTCAGCAGACAGTTGTGACGTCATCGTAGTCCTTGTCATGATAGTCTGTATTATTGGTTGCCTATGGTAAATGTATAAAAATAACAGCTGAGAAATTTTGAGTTAATTATTTTGTCGATTTTAAATATGAAAAAGGTGTTTTTAAAGTTTTTAGAGTTATAGAATGTATAAATACGTTCATTTTGTGTTGTGGATTGTGACTAAGTGCCTACGATATTGTTTATTAATTATTTTAAAGCCAAATATGGAAGTACTCTAAAAAGAATACCTGCAGAAGGTGATGCTCGGAACTGCTGTTCTTAAAAATGCATTATCCGAGTATTTAATACGATTTATACAGTTAATTTTCTATATTGTATACATATAAGGCGTTTAAATAAACAAACTAAATATTGGATGTTTTGCATACGGCAACCAATAATACACACACTATCATGACAAGGACTACAATGACGTCACAAAGCGAGGAGTTTTCGCATGCACCTGGCAGACACTTTCGGCTGAATGAGCAGTCCTATTAGTTTACCGTTCTTGGTAATAGCCCATATGCACCACTGGTGAATATGTTGACAATTGGAAGGAAATTACAATAAATCGAAATACTAGTGGATGGACGGGTGACCGGTTCGAAACTCTGTATCGTGCTGCTATTCAAAAAAAGGCAAAAGTGTAAAATCTATTGACACACGCTGCTCATTCACGCCGGTTCGAGGCCGGATGTGATCGGATATCTCGTGATTAAGAGTCGATTTAGACACTTGCTAAATCGGTAGGCCATTGACCATGATATGGCCGAGGACCCCGGTTCGGATTCCGCGTAAACAAAGTAGGCCCCGTCCGATTAGTCCAGGCAGCAAAAATATGAAATCTTTACTTTTTTTTAATAAATCGAAAAAAAGAAGACTAACCCCCTGTAGCTACGAAAACGAAACAAAGCAGAATCGGACTTAAGTTGATAATGAATAAGAAATAAATGAGATGGCAGATGTTTGTTGAAACACCTTGTATAATATAAATAATAGGAAAAAAATGATGTTTGCAATGAACTACATCTCAAAATTTATTATAGTCTTTTTTCTTTGTAAAATTTATTTTGGTTTTTTGAAGACCATATTTTTCTCTAAGAAATTTCAAAATTCTAAAAATAAATCCATTCTTAGCTAATTAAATATCAACAGGTAAATTATTTGTTATTTTAATCTGAGTCTTTGCAAAAACTAACGCCAAAGTCAAATTTTACCCAAATTAAACAATAGGGAATCCTATATGAGGCGGTATTTATTTGCGACACTGTTGATGTAACTAAAACTCAAATACCTTTGTGGGCAGTCCTTCCAAGCCCACAACCAACCCTTCCAATAAACTGTGTATGGAAAGAGCCACTAACAATCCGAGACTAACAGTGGGCATGGTAGAATGACATGGTTCCTCATGACCAACATGACATAGTTGAGAAGGTGGATCATCTGCAGCATTGTATAGAGCGCTGTCAGAATAAGCAGTCCTAAATTTAAACGAAATAAGAATATTTTTTAGTTAAATAAAAAAGCCAGTTACAACTAAATATTTTAAGATTAACACTTATCTATAAAAAATATTACTAACCTAATATAATTAGGGTTGTAAGGATATTGTTGTCCCTCTGAAACAAGAAGAGAATGTCTCTCGTTCGGGTTGCATGCTCCATATCTGCCAAGCACAGAATGACGTCTTTCTGGTTGATCCACCCTGTATATGTTATTTTTGTTTAGATTTTTATTATATCATAATAAATATTAATTATTCATAACCCAGCTAGTTTGTTCGGAAATAATGCGAATATTTATTTCAAAATTGTCTAAAAATAACCGCATACGATCGAAAAAAAACGACGTCAAAGATAGCTTGGAAATGAAGATCGTTGTTTGAATTGATCAATTGTATATGATCGAAAAAAATGGCGTCAGCAATAGGTATGAAATGAAGATCGCTGTCATTATACAAGGTGTCCCAGAAATAAGTGCAAGTATTTTAACTGGTAGTATAATTCAACCCAAAATATAATTCAACCCAAAAAAATATTTTTTTTTGTAAATTTTCAAAGTAAAATAACTCTGGAGTTATTTGAAAAACGATAAAGAGAAAATATGTTTCTTTTGTCGAGATCTACCACCCCTTAAAATACTTGCACTTATTTCTAGGACACCCTGTATATAAAATATATGGGGAATGTCATTGATGTTCATTGTCAAGACAAATGGACGCCGTTTTTTCGATCATACGGTATTTTTCGTTAAATTTCTATTTTATAATGTATGTAGTAGTTCTGGTTTGCATTGGAGATCAATTATTACAAAAAAGCTATAAGCGTGCGTTTCGCAGTGGCGCATCTAGAGATTGACTCTGGGAGGGGTAGTGAACAGCATCCTGTTACTTATATTGATATTGTTATTTAATAAATTCTTTAAGTATTTTATCGTGAGTTTAAATTAGTGGGCCCATGGAATCTGTAACTAAACTCACCGGCAAAAAAACCGGCCACTAAAAACTAGTCCCAATTTCAAAGTTGGATTTCTCGCGAACCACCCATTAGATTTTGATAATTTTTTTTTTTAAATTGGAAATTAATTCTTTCTTGATGCTACATCAGAAATTTTTATTCCGAATTTATTTTGAGCATATACAGGGCACAACAATAAGACGAAGTTTTTTGCCCGAACTATTTAACACCCTGTAGGGTGCAGCAGCGGTAATAGCTATTGCTAAATCAAATCACATTGTAGTCTCATTTTTTGTGAGCATTTTGTTTTTTTTAATCACGACATTATCTCTGTTTGTATTGGAGATACGCTGCTTTAAAACGATCCGAACGTCTCGGAAAAACAGATTTATGAGTATTTGCAATATGGCAACAACGGTTGTCAAATTAAAAAATGCCATTATCTGTGACGGATGTTGCTCGTATTGTGGTTTTAATTGAGGATGGCCGAAGTCAACGTTATGTGTCCGATACCCTGGGTATACCTCGAACAACAATTTATACCGATTCCAGGCATCCTGGAATCGGTATATGGAAACGGGAATTTTCACCAGGCGAGTGGGTTCCGGAAGAAAACGGAAGACAAATGCAATTGACGACCGCTTTATTGTCCTGAATACTTTACGAAACGTAGAATTACAGCGTTCAATATCTGCTACAAGCCGTGCGTAGAACTCAAGTCAGTGAGAGAACAATCCGACAAAGCCTAAAAGAAAACAGCTGTCTGCAAGGACGGCTGCCACGGGACCCCAGCTACTTCCAAGATATCGTCGAGCACGTCTTCAGTTTGCACGTTTACATGTGAATTGGGATATTGAGCAATGGACTAAAGTCCTTTCCTTTTTCCGTCCTTTTTGGACGATGAATATCTTTTAAACGGTTAATTTAATCGACTAATCATGAGAAACCATTTTTGTAGAGCAGTGAATTTTCTACAAAACAGTGAGTTGCGCGTAGCATAATGATTTTTTGTTAACGAGCTATAAAATTCATAAGAAAAAAGAAATCTGCCTTAAAATAACCAAACCTTTAATAACTTTCTAACGGTGAGGTTTAAAAAAAATTGTAAGAGACCTTTTTTTGTAGAGAATCCAATTTCCTACAAACATATGAAACGAGAAATTTTTTCCAAATAGTAGAGACCGAGATATGAATTTAGCTTTCTCATAATAAGGAAAAAATAGAAAACTGAAAGGCGGGAGACCTTCCTATTAAAGTTAAAGGCTCATACTTGTATTGACCAACCTTGTTGTCCTCAGTTGATTTTCCACAGCTGTAGTAGTATCTTGGTTTTCTGTACCATGACTGTGCGCGCCTTCGCCATAAATGAAGTGCACAATTTCGTCCATCAAATACAGCAGAAAGAACCCGCATAGAAAAAATAGCTCTGTGTAGGGTTTGAACGCTGTGCTCGAATTGTCTCTAGCTTCTGGTAAAATGTGAACTAGAGATGTGCAGAGTAAGACTCCTCCACCGAAGCATAGAAGCGAACTGAGAAGTAATGGGCATCTTTTTCTAGATTTGCGAGCAAAACATGCTGGCAACAAACCTAAAAAAGGATAATAAGTTTGCCAAATATTGTACTAATGACAAAAAGAACAATTATCTCATTAAAAAAATCAATTTAAATTAGAATATTCAGCTCTTAATTTAGTTTTAGTGCAATGCTATTTCAACTGTATTATTGGTAGTATAATTAAGAAAGAATTTCAAACAGAGGGAAAATATTTCAAAAGTTCTGGCTCTTCTGAAATAATTTTTACTGAACAATGTTTTTGAGGTCTAAACCAATTGTTAATTATGCAAGAAAATATTTATTTAATAGAAATGAATTATGTTTAATAAATTGTCGTTAAATACAACTAGAGAAAAAAACACAATCCAAAACAAAATCAGAATATAACTTTAGTTACAAGGATTTTATTTTATTTAACCATGAAGCTAAGGGTTTTGTAAAACTGCGTTCACTGAACTTTTAGTTTTCATTTGTGTTGTAGTGTTGTTTTATATTATTTGTCAAAATATTTCGAATTTTATATTTCTTTAGTTAATACAGGGTGTCTTTAGTTAATACGTTGAAGCTGTAGGGAAGCCCCATAGCGACACTGGGAACATTACAAATCAAAGTTCCAAGGAACCAAATCCAAAGGAAACTACAGGAGGGCGGCTGACACTTGCTTGGGATCGTCCTCCACAAGTGGCACACAAGCTACCACCTTCTCCAGCAAGGGTCGGGAGCCTACCTCTAGACTAAATAAGCGACATAAGCTACCATTTCGTCTACCCGGCCTGGGTCAACCAGGCGGGCTAGAGGATCCTCTGAGAGTAGGTCTTAGCGGATCAGAAGCACGGAGATACCTCCGACTGCTCCACGAAGGACTTGCTTCAGAAGAAGCAAAAACGAAAACACTTCTCCGAAAAGGGAAGAGTAAAGAAACCAAGAAACAACCTGACTCGTCTCCATCACAGGGCAAGAGAGGGAGCGAGAACCTCTCACCTCTTCTCCGACAGGGAGAGAAAAAAGCCAGGATGGAAAGCCGTCGAACGCCGGGAGGCAAGCAGGGACGTATCACCAGCTTTGCCGCTATTGTTGGACAAGTGAAAATGGCGGTGCTGCCAAAGGATTTCCCAGAGGTTGCTCTGACCACCGACCAGCAAACGTCTCTAGAAGAGGCTATACTGGACGAAGTAGTGGCGATCGGATCGCAACACAACGATCTACAAAATGTGGGTCAGCTGAGTTTTGCGGGGCTACACTTTCGGGTGGGCATGATCCTCATAGATTGTGTATCTCAAGAATCGGCGAATTGGTTGGTAGAAATCGCACCAAAGCTTAAAAATTGGCAAGAGCCGGAACTGGTTGCAGTGAAGGGAGAAAACATCCCTAACATCCCCTTTCTGCCGAGTAGCAAGGGGAAAGACACCACCTACCTGCTGAGCTTTATCCAAGGTCAGAACTTCAATTTAAGGACATCGAGTTTAATCTACTACCTATGTCCATATTATCAAGAAATTATGTTTTTTGACTAAAAACTAAAAAAATTTCCAAAATATTTTTCAAAAAATTCCGAATTTTCGAAATTTTTTTTTCGCGAGAAAAACCTCATAGGCGTGTTTCTGGGGTTGAACTATACTACCAGTTAAAATACTTGCATTTATTTCTGGGTCACCCTGTATAATGATATTTATCTTAAATTTTTAAAGAATATTATTTCCTGTCCTTTTACAATAAACAAACTAAAACTCATTTGAAACTTTTCATAATATTGTTTATATATTTTAAATACAATAAAACGGAAAGTTTCTTAAAGTAAAGACATCAAGTGTCGCAGTAGAAAAAATTAAAAACGCATATGTAAACAAAATTATTATATATTTTAGTGATAACATTTGTTCTTATTTTAGAATTTTTATATTACTATCTATAAAGCCAATTAATACTGCATTAAATTAATAAAATAAATAACAGTAATTTTACTGAATACAGTTACATATTTTACGTATCTTTATATATTGACAATTTGTTAATAAATAATGTTTAGTTGTTTTTGTAAATATTCTAGAATAATTCTAGATTATTTATATAGTGTTTTTATTAATCTAAAACTTACCTACAAAAATGCTTCCTACTCCTAAAGCAACGATAGCCAATAATTTAGATTGTGTTGTATTTAACTCCATTTTTATTTCAACCACAAGAAGCTAAAAAGTATATTATGTTTATAAAACAAACATGTAAGGATTTTTCTAATATAGAAAATAAAGAAACACAGAACACAAGAGATATAGATTTTTTTTTAAATATCTTCAACAAATCGACTTAAATAGAAAGCATAGTCGCCCCATGTTTGACCAACAATCGAAAATTCTTCACAGATAACGTTATCTTAAATGTTTTATCTACCAAGTCATTATTGCTCTCTTTTTCCAAATCATAAATAAATGTAAACAAATAATTTGCTTTTTTTATTGAAAGATATTAGTAGGATTGTGTGTTAATTTGTATTCCTTATTTATTTTAATCGTAGTAATTATATAGACATTTTTAATTAAATATTAATTTATTTCAAGTTTTCAGAAGAAAAAGTTCTTATTTCGTTGTTTCCTTTCAATTGATGTATTTTAAGTTGCCTATAGTTTACCTATGTTAACCAATTGGTAAACCTGGAAAATCTTTAGGACTACGTGTAAAGTTGGTTGCCTGATTCTGTGATTCACTAATTAATCGAGTGTATTCAATGTCAAAAATAGATTTTAATATTTTTAGAAAAAAATTACTAAACCAATAATTAAATTCATCATAGAATACTATATATTTTAGAAATAAAATGATTGTCAAATTAATAAAATTAACCTGCAAATAACATAAATTATTATTAAAACATTATTTATTTATTGAATTGTACAAATGTTTTTATCTTAAAAATTGGTTATTAGAGTACCTTAGAGGGAAAACATTTCTATACTGATAAAATAACAAGTGAATATTGTGTATAAATATATTTTAAGTTAAAAATATCACTTTTTATACTGAATGCCCTTTTTAGGCGCTGTTTTGGCATTATGAATTACTTTTCTTCTTTTATTTTTATTCCAGGGTTCAGGCTCAACACTACAAAAAATATTTCTGTTATATTTTAAAAAAACCTCAAGAATAGTACACAATATAATAAATTATAAGTACAACTTACTCTAGTAAGTCAATTTCAACTTTACCATGCTGGTCAGTAAAATATTTCCAAAATTCATCACCTTCCTTGAATACTTTTAAAAATAAATTGTTTGAATTATTTCCTCCTTCCAAATGAAATGTTTCTGTTTTTAAATCATCTATAATAACACTGATATGTTAAAAAACCTATATATTTTGAAAAAGTCTTATAATACTTCTGGAAATGTCCCCTTTTTCCATTCTGTATTCTTCTAATTCTCTGTCTTTCTTTTTTAGTAAATTCAATAACACCTGCTGCTGTTTCTCCAAGAAAAAGACAGTTTGAATTAAAGGAATTGTAAGTTCATTTTTAAACTGACAAAAAAAATATAAATAAATTAATTCTCAGTAAAAATTCTACTGTATGTATTAGGTACCTTAGAACTATCTTGTTTTAGTAAAGAAAATGTATAAACAATATTTGGTACACCCAACTTAAGTGATTCATCGCTACACTTTGGCTGGAGAACTAAATTAAGTTCATTATCACTATAATTTAAAGAAATATTCACATTTCCTAATTCCTCAATTGTGCTCAACAAATTTGTTTTTACAATATCTTCAGTGGCTTCAATATTAGGGTTTTCTTTCTATAAAAATAGATTATTATTGAATCTATATGTACTAAGTAATTGTTTAAAGACTTACTTTAAAGATTTCTACTAATTGCTCAAGGGAAAAATGAGTTTCCCAAATATCTGTAATGTTTGTTAAAATTAAATTAAAATTTTCGTCTTGTTCGTCAAGACGTAGCATGTATATAGCTTCCGGAGTCTTAAAAGGTTTCCACATTTTTATAAATTAAGTGGTGTACACATATCCTTTAAATCGGAAAAAATTGATAAATTGATAATTGATAAATTGATAATTGATAATTGATAAATTGATAAATTTTCATCAAAAATTAATTACATTTTTTGTAAATAGAAATTTAATTTTTTTTTAGGTTAAGATTGTGTTAGGGATGGGAGTTGAGTTGATTCTTATCGATACATTCAATTGGATCATATATCAACTACGAAGTTTATATGATTCAAGGACAAATTGATAATGACGTGTTTAAAATCGATCCAGGGACTAATTTACTAAATAATGAGGATAAATAATTAACAACGAATTATGAAAGAGTTTATTACAAATCAATAATTTATTGCACAATTTTTTTATGAATCTGTCATGTGATCTGTGAATCTGTAATATGTATGAGCTGTAAGCTGTAAATCCCCTGAGTTAAGTTATTTTGAGTTTGACTCAGAGTAATAATTAAAAATAAATATCAGGTCGTTTTTCTTAATATACAGGGTGGTCCGAACTGTATTCCGGAAACTTCGGCAGCATGTTCTGCAGATAAAAATAAGTAAAAAAATTCGTATAAATGTATGTCCTAAAATGCTTAGTTTCGGAGATACAGGGCGTAGAAGTTTCAAAGAGGACAAAGAGTTATTACGCTTCAAAACAGTTAAAACACATGTAGGTAGCGTCCTCTATTAGTAGGAGTCATATTGACATCAATATCAAATTTCTCATGTCAAAAAACTCTTAGACGTCAATTTTCAACCAGATATTGACATTACTTCAGAAATTATTTGGAAAAAATCGAAATAAAAATGAAATTTCTATACCCTGTATCTCTGAAACTAAGCATTTTAGAACATACATTTATACGAATTTTTTTAGTTATTTTTATCTGCAGAATATGCTGCCGAAGTCTCCGGAATACAGTTCGGACCACCCTGTATATTCATAAAAATCTTAAAATAATAGATATGTATATAGGAAGAGAGAAGTGCCATGTATAAAATATATCTACCAAATTCTGTCTCTCCCTTGACTACTCCTTTGAATAAAAAGGTCTTCTCTGGTCTTCTCCCATGGCCAAATAAAACAAAGAGGAATGATTTTAATTGTGCTTTTAGACATTGTGAATGATCGTAAACTAAAAAGTATAAAGTGTAATTGAAACCACTAATTTATTCCACTAATTGCGGGGTTCTGAATGAAGCTCTAGTTCCATTAGCTTGATTGTTATAAAATTATAGTCAATAAGTGATATTTTAATTTTTTTTTGACGCTGGTAATCATGGCTGGTTTACGATCTGTTAATTACCCATATGCCTATAGAAAACCTGATAAAATTGCGGGTAATTGACTTTTAAATTGGTTTGCTTAAAGAAAGCTTTTGTAATAACCCTTTTGAATGGGGTCATTCTCGGGCGCAAGCTCCTTACTATATGAGTTAAGAGTACCAAACCACTTTTATACCGGGTGCGTCTCAAAAATGGCTCACCCCTATAACTTTTTTATTTTATCGGATAAAAAAACGAGATTTGGGAAATTAGGATCGATTGACATATTCAGTTGTTTTCGGTCGTTTCCGGTTTCACCGGAAATGAATACAACTTTTGATTTTTAAAATGACACCCTCCGTATTTTTTTACTTTATTCGATAGAAAATGATACTCTGAATAGAATGACATATCATATATCAACTTTAGACATTTTTGCATATCGTTTATTTGAAATTATAACATGCGGTTCATAATGACAATTTGACTCGAAATATCAAGTTTGTGGTATGAAATTATTGGTAAAAGAATGCTTTTTCCAAATATGCTAATGAGCCACCCTCGTTTCATTTGAAAAAATTGAGATATGATTCAAAATACAATTTGGGCATCTTTTGAACCGACCAGGACAAGACACTAAAAACATTAGACGATCAAATCTATTTTTCCAAGGCTCCTTGATTCAAAACTAGTGTTTTTAACACAGCCATGGCATTCTAGATTGAAATTTAAAATACAATTTTGTTTTAAGTGAAAATGTCAAAAGTTGATATATGATATGTTGTTCGATTCAGAGTGTCATTTTCTATCGAATAAAGTAAAAAAATACCGACCGTGCCATTTAAAAATCAAAAGTTGTAGTCATTTTCGGTGAAACAGGAAGTAACCAAAAACAATTGAATACGTCAATCAATCCTAATTTATGTCATATACTAACATACCAAATCTCGTTATTTTATCTGAAAAAATAAAAAAGTTATAGAGGTGAGCCACTTTTGAGACGCACCCGGTATAAAAACTTTATACAAAGTTGTCATTATTTTTTACGCTTAATATAGTAAAAAGTACCAAATTGGTACTTACCATTCGAAATTGTCTTTTTGTAATTTTTGTATACTATTTAATCAAATGCTATAAAAATTTAAGTAGAGTAAAATCTTTTTTAAAATACCTACATTTATAAGTTTTATATATATGTTTAAGTACAAAATACTTAGTGAATATCAATTTGGATTTCTAAGCAACAAGTCCACAAATGACGCTATGTTTTCCCTCCTTAATAAAGTTTACTCCAGCCTAAACAACCATCATTCTACAGCAACAATTTTCTGTGATTTTTCTAAGGTGTTCGATTGTGCAAATCATAAGATCCTAATTAATAAACTGCAGCACTATGGGTTCAGGGGATCATCTCTCGAATGGTTTAAGTCGCATCTGAGCAACAGATGTCAACTTGTGAGGGTGGATACCACGTTGTCTTCTAGCAAGCCAGTAGAATGTGGAGTACCACAAGGCTCAGTACTAGGCCCTATTTTGTTTCTTCTTTTTATTAACGACATTGCTAACATAAACATCAGTGGCAAAATATGTCTTTTTGCGGACGACACTAGCTTCACTTGGAGCAACAAGGACATCACGACATTTCATAGGATTATATCAAATGACTTAATCACCATTAAATTTTGGTGCGATTCGAGTCGCAACATTTCAAAAACTAAAGCTTTGTCGTATAAAAACTCGTTGCAGCTTTTTGTACTTAACAACACCACCATTGACGTCGTAAAATCTGTAAAATTCTTAGGGCTTGTTGTGGACAATTCTCTGAAATGGGACATACATATCGAAGCTTTGTCGAAAAAATTGAGCTCTGCCTGTTTTGCATTAAGGTCTCTTTCTAAGGAGCTTAACTTGTCAGTGGCTAGAACTGTTTATTATGCACTTTTTGAGTCGCACCTCAGGTATGCCCTTCCATTCTGGGGTACGTGTTGTGCGACTCAATTTGACTGCATTTTCAAGCTCCAGAAGAGAGCTGTTCGATATTCACTGGGACTAAACAGCAGAACTCATTGCCGGGGCTTTTTTAGAGAATTAAAAATATTGACTCTTCCTTCCTTATTTATATTTGAATCCGTTTGCCTAATACGTAAACATGTATCAGCTCCTCAAGAAAGGCCATCTCACATTTATCCACTCAGGAACGCGAAGCAAGATCTTTATCTACCTACCCCACGCTCAGAGTTAGTTAAAAGTTCAATATTATACAACTCGAAAAAAAAATGCACAATCACCTGCCATTTGAAATCAAATCCATAACATCATTTTTTCATTTCACAAGCATTGAACTCTTATTTACTAGACGAGGCTTTCTACGCCGTAAATAAATTATATTTTGAAAATCGAATTTGATCTTGTAAACACTGGTCTAATGTTTGCTATTGCTATATTTACTAATGACATCGAAATGAATTTATTTAGAGGTCATTGATATTTTACTATAAACTAGTTAAATATTTTTGAATATTATTTTTATTTTTTTGTTCTTTGACATTGTAAACATTTATAAATGTTTATTTTAACAATAAGACTGACAATATTATTTGTATAATGTTTTGTATTATCTTTTGTTTGTTTGTTTGTGTACCTTGTTTTTTTTTACTTTGTTTGTTAGTTTACCTTTGTCTACAAATTGAAAAATTTTTTGACAATAAAGGCATTTATTTATTTATTTATTTATAAAAAATTCCTAACGTAGAGAAACTGCAGAATTTACTTATATTTTGCTTATATTCTATATTTTTGATAGAAAATTGAAAATATCTCAACACCGGTTAAACTTGAATAACCATTATATAACAAATATATATTTAAACTTTCAACATGTTGAATAAAAAAGCATAGATATACAGGGTGAGTCTTAAATAAGTCCAAATATTTTCAGGGCTGGTAGATCTCGAGAAAAGGAATATATTTTCTCTTTACCGTTTTTCAAATAAGTCCAAAATAACCGAGTTCTTTTGCTTTAAAAATTAAAAAAAAAGGATTTTTTGCTTAAATTTTGAGAACCACTGGACCTTTTGTGGGTTTTCTTTCTAATAAATTTAATCTACCACCTCTATTTACCATATTATCAAGAAATTATGTTTTTAATTAAAAACTAAAAAAACAAAATTTTTTTCAAAATATTCCGAATTTTCAATTTTTTTTTGAGAAGTGGTTCGAATTTGACTAGAAATACCAAATATGTGGTACTAAATTTTTCGCAAAAGAAATGCTTTTATCCAAATATGCTAATGAGCCACCCTCGTTTCATTTGAAAAAATTGAGCCATGATTAAAAACACGATTTGGGCATCTTTTAGCCGGCCAGGAAAAAATAGAACGAAAATTGGACTATCAAATCTATTTCTCCACATGGCACTCTAGATTCAAATTTAAAATGCTATTTCTTTTAATTGAAAACGTTAGAAATTGACATATGACATGTTATTTTATTTAGAATGTCATTTTCTATTAAATAAAGTAAAAAATACTGAGAGCCCCATTTAAAACTCAAAAGTTGTAGTCATTTCCGGTGAAACAGGAAGCGACCGAAAGTATTTGAATACGTCAAATCCCGATTTATGTCATATACTAAAATACCAAATTTCGTTCTACTATCTAAAAAAAAATAAAAAAAGTTTTAGGGGTTGTGAGTAAAAAAATTCGTAATATATCTAGAAATTCATTTACCCACTAGTAGTTATAAAAAGCATTTTTGGTAAACTCTGTCTCAAATAGTTTCTGAAAAATAAAATTAATTTTTTTAAAAAAGTCCGATTAAATGAATATCTCCGAAACTAAAGTTCCCAAAAAATTCGTAATATATCTAGAAATTCATTTACCCACTAGTAGATATAAAAAGCATTTTTGGTAAACTCTGTCTCTAATAGTTTCTGAAAAATAAAATTAATTTTTTTAAAAAGGTCCGATTAAATGAATATCTCCGAAACTAAAGTTCCCAAAAAATTCGTAATATATCTAGAAATTCATTTACCCACTAGTAGATATAAAAAGCATTTTTGGTAAACTCTGTCCCTAATAGTTTCTGAAAAATAAAATTAATATTTTTAAAAAGGTCCGATTAGAGAAATTACGAACTTTACACTTTTGAGAGATAGATATTAAAAAACTTTGAATAAAGTTGTTAAATGAAAAACCCTGCCTAAGCGTGAGTGGACCTCTTAAGGAGAGAAAGAAAAATCAATTTTCAGCCGTTTATCAGCTGAGAGGGAAACATGTTACACGTTAACCCTCCTCAGCAATCGATCAGAGAAAACTAAAGCTACCCAGAATAAAAATGGCGCTTGACTTCGCAGCCACCTACAAAATTCTAGTTTTGGGGGACTCCAATGTTGGAAAAACGTGTATAGTGCACAGATTTTGCGACGAGAGATACTACGATACTTATATTTCGACTATAGGTAAGTAAAATAAGTTTATTTTTGATTGTTCAAATATATGACAGATTGTGTACATTGTACTGAAGAATTTAAGCTATATAGACAAAGACTTTGATGTTGTCCTAGGATTTATGTTTTTATATACTTTTCTCACAATTTGAAAAAAACATTATTCAAATATTAATTTCCTTTAAATACTTATTTTTTAATGTGTATTGTGCATTATAACGAAATTAAACAAAAATATATTTTTATAAAATAAAAACTATTTTAATACTTAGACTACAGCAAAATTTCGATAATCTATATTCTACAGGGTCCGGCAATAGTGCGTCGGGCATCTGTAGCTCCTAGAATAAAAAACTTGAGAATCTTGTTTAAGTGCGAACCTAAAGTATGTGCCAGGATGTATTTCAAGAAAATATTTTAACTTCTATAGGGTGGCTCAAAAAAGTATGAGTGGACCTTGATGATTTTTTTTAAATGGAATACCCTGTATATTATTGCATTTTTGGCTTCCTTTCAGATCACTTTACATAACCCTAAGATATGAATAAATATATTTTGATAGTTTCAGAGATATTAAAAAATAAATAAAAAATATGTATTTTTCAGCCCTTCTTAAAAAAATTATTAAAAATACAAGAACTGTCCTGAAATCAAAACTATATTAGGTATTTACTTTAGATGGTCTGTATTTACTTTGCTATAAATATGAAAATCGTAAATTATACAGAATGTTCAAAATTCTGCGCCAAACTTTCTAAAATATAAAATAATTTTTCCTCGTTTTTTGAAATGGAACACCCTCTATATTATTTTTTTAATAGACGAAGACTTAAAAAATGAACATTTTTTGTATTTAAGGTATTTCAAAATTTTTAACGGTTTCGCAGATATTTGCGGTTTTATATTTCATATGGCATTTTCCACAGTAAATTTATATCAAAGCCACCCAATGATTTTTCACTCGTATTTTACCATTGAAAGCGCCATATGAAATATAAAAAATGTTCATTTTTTAACTATCCATCTAATAAAAAAATAATATACAGGGTGTTCCATTTAAAATAACAAAGAAAAATTATTTTATATTTTAGAAAGTTTGGCGTAGAATATTGAACATCCTGTATGATATACGATTACTATATTTATAACAATGTAAGAACAGACTATCTAAAGTAAATACCTAATATAGTTTTGATTTCAGAACAGTTCTTCTATTTTTAATAATTTTTTTAAGAAGGGCTGAAAAAATACATATTTTTTATTTATTTTTAATATCTCTGAAACTATCGAAAATATTTATTCATATCTTAAAGTTATGTAAAGTGATCTGAAAGGAAGCCAAAAATGCAATTATATACAGGGTGTTCCATTTAAAAAAAGTCATCCAGGTCCACTCACACTTTTTTGAGCCACCCTATAAAAGTTAAAATATTTTCCTGAAATACATCCTGGTACATACTTTAGGTTTGCACTTAAACAAAATTCTCAAGTTTTTAATTCTAGGAGCTACAGATGCCCGACGCACTATTGCCGGACCCTGTATAGATATGGCAACTCTTTGTAGATATTATGTAGCTTGCTGTTGAAGGTATTATTAAAGCTTGCAGTTATAATAAACCAAATTAATGCTAAAAAATATACAGGGTGTTTAAAATGGTCTTTTTTGGAAAATAAGTACATAATTTAAATTTGTCAGAAATTTAAAATTTTTCAAAGGTGCCCCTAAATTAAACTACTTATAAATTAATCAAATTGATGATATTTGCATAAAGAAACTATTCAAAATGAAAAAACACACAATTAAAATTTATTATTAAAAACAATTCTATACTGCAAAATAAAACACTAAATCACCACAATACACCAAAACACTCTTACTTTTACACTGGACGCGCGTTTCGCTAACCATGTTAGCATCATCAGCAGATGATTATAAACTCGACAACAAAACTGTGATTGAATATATTGAGCTTACATCGTTATGTATGAAATAAAATTGTTTTTAATTTAATAACAACTTTTTTGAACAGCGGGAAGGTACAGCAATGGGTAATCCATTGACTCCATTTTTGGCTAATTTATTCATGAGCAGGTTCGAGGTGGAGGCTAAGAATCAGTTTGAGTATTTTCCAAGAGTATGGTTTAGGTATGTGGATGATATTTTTTGCTGTTTTTGACACACATTCAGACACCATAGATAATTTTATTTCTAAGTTAAATAATCGTTTTCCTTTCATTAAATTTACACATGAAATTGAGAACAACGACAGATGACTATTTCTAGATGTATTAGTTATTAGAAATACTAATAATTGCCTGAAATTTGATATCTATAGGAAAAATACAACTACACGCAGATATATTCCTAATGAATCATATCATAGTATTGAACATAAAATGGCTAGTTTAAATTTCTTAGTTCATAGATTACTTAGTTTTCCACTTTCCAACGAAAGATATGAAATAGAAAGAGATTACATTAGGAATGTAGCTGAGTGTAATGGATATTCTCCTTCACTAGTTGATAAAATAATTAGAAAAAGTAGGTATAGGTTAATGATTTCTGAAAATTCGACTTTTCAAGTGGAGAAAGATACATCAAAATATTTTTCAATACCGTTTGATAGACAGTTATCCCGTGTTCTAAAAGGAATTTTTAAGAATGTCAATTATAAACTTGTGTATAGTGCTAATAATAAATTACAACAATTAATAGGTAATCCAAAGGATAAAACACCTCTACTGGAAAGGTCGGGTATTTATGAAATTTCTTGTAAAGATTGTAATCAGAAATATGTTGGGCAAACTAGAAGATCAATATTAACTAGCTTTAAACAGCATTTAACTCAGATATTGTTGACAAAGAACATTGTATAGATCTTAATAATTTGAAATTAATTAAACCAGTCTCAAATTACAGGCAATAAAGATGCATATGAAAGCATCAGAATTAATAAATGTAAAGATAGTATGAACAGAGACAACGGTCCAATTTCTTTGTTCTTTGTTTGTTTTCAAAGTTCTTTATTCCTACTACTCTAGTGGCGGAAATCTAACTGTTACGCTCGGTGGGCTCTGACTCGGTTGGCTAGATCTTGCCACGCCCACTCTGTGCCCACTGAGCGAGTATATAAACGCTCCAATTGTAGATTGTTTTTTAGTTTATAAAAAAAAGAGTTTATAATCATCCACTGATGACTAACATGGTTAGCGAAACACGCGTCTAGTGTAAAAGTAAGAGTGTTTTGGTGTATTGTGGTGATTTAGTGTTTTATTTTGCTGTGTAACACCAAAGGTTCCAACCCTCAACTGTAAAATTCTATACACTTTTTTTTAATTTTGTCAATAAATATATGGCGATCATATATTTGTAAATTATGTAAACAAATTTAAACATCTATGATATTAAACCATTAAACAAAAAATAACTAATTTAAGTACATTTTAAGGATTTCGTAGATGTAGGACATAAATAGTCTGTCCAGAAAAAGAATGTATGACAGTGACAGTTCATTTCATCATATTCAAAGATAAAAATCAAACATATTTTGTCTTAAAAAATATTATCTTATAAATTTGTCTTTTCCCAAAATACGTTGAAACAATCAATAGTTAATCAGATAGTTATTAAAACTACTTACTTTTTTTATTGCTTACAGGTATCGATTTTAAACAAAAGATAATCAATTTGGACGGTGTTCCTATAAAGTTACAAATATGGGACACAGCTGGCCAAGAGAGATTTAGAACTTTGACAACAGCTTATTACAGAGGGGCTATGGGAATTTTGTTGCTGTACGATGTCAGCAATTTGGAAAGCTTCAACCATATCACGTACTGGTTACAAAACATCGAAGAAGTAAGATAAATTTAGGGTTTTAAACAACTAATGTTTTAGAATAGAGACACTTTTTATTTACTCTTAAACATTTTTTACTTTCTGGTACTTTCAGCCTAATAGAAAGTGGTTGTCAATTTATTAATTTTAAACAGGATCTCCGATACATATTGAACTTTTTGGATTTTACATAAAATTCTAAATATATATTGTGAATAATGTTCTAATTAATTATACCTAAGTTTAACGGTTTTTGAAATATTTTGATGGATTATTTACAAATTTGTGTTGCTTGTATTTTACAAGAGGTTTTACTTTACTTAAATCTTTAACGTAAATGCTTAAATATTATACAGGAAGTTCATAATAATATGATGCAAATTACATTCAGTATGTATTTTACATACATACCAGATGTTTTTTAAAATTGGTTCACCCCTATAACTTTACTTTTTTATTTTTTGAGATAAAAAACAAGATTTGATGTGTTAGTATATGAAATAAATCAAGAATTATTGACATATTCAATTAGTTTCGGTCACTTCCTGTTTCAATGAAAATGATTACAATTTTTGATTTTTAAATGGTACCCTCGGTATTTTTTTAAATTTTTGATAGAAAATAACATTCTGAATAGAATGATATATCATATGTCAACTTTTGACAGTTTTGCTTATAAAAATAGTATGTTAAATTTGAATCTAGAGTGTCACGACCATAAATATAAGGACAATTTGACTCAAAATACCTGACTGTTACACCAAATATCATTTTCTATCAAATAAAGTAAAAAATTCTGAGGATACAATTTAAAAATCAAAAGTTGTAGTCGTTTCCGGTAAAACAAGTGACCGAAACTAATTGCATACGTCATTCAATCCTGATTTATGCCATATACTAACATACCAAATCTCGTAAAAAAAAATAAAAAAGTTTCGAAACTTTCGAAACAATTTCGAATAAAAAAGTTTCGAAACACTTTCGAAAAACACCCGGTATAACAGTATTCATTTTACAGAATGCATCGCCTCATTGTATAACTGTTATAGCTGGAAACAAGTGCGACTCAAAAGATAGAATAGTGGACACAGAAAATGGACAAAAGGTATAAAACATTACATTAAAAATCATATTTATCGTATACATTACTTCATACTATTATTATTTATACAGGGTGTACGAAAAATGCACGTCCAAATTTCATTTTTATTTATACGTGATTCCTCATCAAAAAAATATGAAAAAAAGTTTCTATAAACATGGGTCGGGTAATGCATAATTTTAAAGATGATTAAGGCATAAAAAAAATTATTCAAAATGAAAACACTTATTAAAATAAATAAAAACAGGCTATACAAAATATTTAAATTTTGTCAATACATGTTCATCATATATTTGTAAATTATGTAAATAATTTCGTCTATGATATTGAACCATTACAATAAGAAATAAATAATTTGTTTGGCCGAAAGTTGGCCGTGACAGTTGTCCCTTACTGGAAAAATTATATAAATTGTATTAAAGGTTTGATAAAAGTAAAGAAATATTAAAAAAAAATCCCATAAATATGTATAGTTTTTAAGTTTTAAAGATAGAGGAAGTTGAGACATTAAAAAATAGTTTTTTTGTAATTTTTTTAAATGTCATTATTTTTTTTGAATTTGCCAAAGGTCTGAATATTATAAATTGTAAAGTTCTTATGAAGTATTTTAATTTAACATTTTACTTTGGTTGCAAATGGAAATTTATTTTTTAATGGAGTAAAAAATATAAAAATTTTTACCTAATTTTTTAAAAATTTTAACATTTTTACTAAAAGTACGCATTTCCAGACACATGTTTATAGCAACTTCTTGCCATATTTTTTGACGGGAAATCACCCTCTTAAATCTGGCCGTACACTTCTCGAACATCCTGTATGCATAAAATTCTGTTACAGATAGCCGAACATTTTGATATGCCATTCTTTGAAGTGTCTTGCAAAGACAATATTAACATAGAAGCCTGTTTTATGTGTTTAGCCAGAAAAATACGCGAAAAAAGAGAACAAAAAGTAAGTTTTACAAATGATATACTGTATTTTAATTAATATTTTAAAAATAATAACACTCTAAGCGTGTTTGTTCATAAAACCATTTGACTACACTATACATTTTGATTACACTATGTTGTATCACTGAATATTGTTTCACACAGACTATGTACTCTGGCATAAAACACAGGGTGTTTCAAATGTAAAGGTTATCAGTATAGTATTTCCGAAGTCAATGGAAGATGGAAGTATACCTACTACACACATGATCAAAATTATTGCATATTACGATATTTTTATTTTGGATCTAATATGATTCTTTTTATATTTTTGGACATATTGGCTTACTACACGACTAATATAAAATTAAAAATCTAAGTGCAACTAGGCTGTTATTATAATTTTATTTCATAATGAGTGAAAATCAACAAAAAAATATTCATTTTAAACAGAAAATATTGAAAACAATTTTAATTATTTCTCACAACTAATTGTATCAATCTGTATTACCTCCTCGAGTCTCAATGCAAGCTGTGAGACGACGTGGCATGCTCTCAATTAAGTTGTTCAGAAGATGTTGAGGAATGGCTTCCCATGTTTCGCGCGCAGCAATTTTCAATTCATTTAAAGTACGGGGGGATCATTCCGTTTGGCAATATGGCGTTTTAGCATGTCCCAAGCATGCTCGATCACATTCATATCTGGAGACATCGGTGGCCTCCACAGTTTTCGTATATCCTCTTCCTCACAAAATTCGCGAACCGCTAAAGTGCGATGTGGAGGAGCATTATCGTCCATGTAGACAAATTCATCCCCCACTGTCCCTCGAAATGGACGCACAATAGACTCTAAAACGTGTCTAAGATATGAGGCACCTCGAGCTCCGTGCATTATACCTGCCCATACCATAATGCTTCCCCCTTGAAACGGGACACGGGGTTGAGTTGCATTCAAGAGGCCTATTCTTGTTTCATCACTAAACATGACGAAATCCAAATTAGGTCTATTTGCTCTCATCTCCTCAGCCCATTGTAGTCGCGTAATTTTGTGCTGTAAATTAAGCTTCGGAACATGTAGAGACCTCCTTAAATGTAATCCTCTGTCATGGAGTCTTCTTGTTATGGTCTTTCTTCAAACAGTTACTCCTTCAAGGCGAGCTAACTCATTTTTAATAGCAGTACTTGAAAGCAGAAGATTGCGTCGTGCAATTAGGGATATTTGACGGTCTTGCACAGCAGTAGTAACTCTCTTTCTACCTCTTCCAGGCCGGTCTGTAACCTCGTTGGTCTCCCTGATTTTTTTTTAATATTCGCTAAACATCGCTTTCGTTAACTCCTACAATTTCAGCTGTTGCAACTTGCCGGTTGAGACAATGTTACTATTCTGTAATTCTGTAATTAAACTGTGAAATAATGTTTCTATGCATTATAAGGCTAAAACAATGATCAAATTTCCTCTGAAACCCAAGAGACCACAAATCGAAATGTGCAAAAATTTGTGATAATATTGGGTCTGAACGATAAACATTGTTTACCACATCTATTTTAACAAAAAAATGATTATTACAGATTATCAAAGTTATGTATAAAATAAAAAATCGTTAAAAAAACTTTTAAGTTAAACGGTTTTATCTTATGTGCACTGAAAACTAGAAAATAATAATAACAATTAGGTATTTTGAACTTCTAGTTCAGAAATATTTTAGTACTAGGCAGAATAGCTTTTAGGCATATTAGACTAAAATAAAAACGCCTCTGAAATCCTACCTATGGCAAAGCATATCTTTATACTTTGGTAGATCATGAGCTCGGCGTTCGCTGGTGAAGCCGCCACGGCTGGTTATTGATTGTCAAAATCTCCAGTTACGATTATAGTAAGTCGATGCAATCCACACTTAGTATAGAAGAAAGTATTACAGCAATAGTTAATGGGCCCCACGTTTTTATTTTAGTCTAATATGCCTAAAAGCTATTCTGCCTAGTACTAAAATATTTCTGAACTAGAAGTTCAAAATACCTAATTGTTATTATTATTTTCTAGTTTTCAGTGCACATAAGATAAAACCGTTTAACTTTAAAAGTTTTTTAACGATTTTTATTTTCTAGTTTTTAGTATGTAACGGAAATGCCTACCGAATATTCCTCATTCTATTTAATTCATTTAGTGCATCATTATTACATGGTTTTTACCTGATAATTTATTACAATCTAATTCCTCAATACATAGCCCTTCCAGAGACTTGACTCGACTTAGAGCCACGTATGCTTGCCCTTCCTCAAACAATTTTGAGCCCAAATACACTACTGCATGGTCGACTGTGCTGCTCTGCATTTTATGGACGGTGGATGCCCATGACAAAATTAAGGGTAACATCCTTCTTTCAGCCGTACCATAATTGAATTTTGCTGGAAACTGTATGGCTTTCGGGTGTATAACGTATATGCCGTATCTGCCAAAGTCAATCCAAACTGATGGTACATTTGTTTCGTACATTTGGGTTCAACATATGGGTTCGACGGAACTGAGGCCAAACAATTTCTGTAATGTGGCCTATAGCACCATTTACCAATCCTTTTGTAACGTCAATGTTGGACCGCAATATTTTCACAAATTCATCACCTATTTTTTTTTATCTGTCCTTCTAACGTCACACAATCTTGGACACAACTGTTCTGGACACGACTACTCATGCCCTCACCTAATACGCCATTCTGTAACGACGTCCATCTTGGATTTTAAATTTTGTCATAATCACAGTATTCTACTAGTGTAGCCCTTTCATTTGATACCCATATTGAGGGGGTTGTGGAAAAATATGAAATCCGCCATTTTGTACCGGCGGCCATCTTAGATTTACAATGTTATTGATATTACTCTATTGTATTGTCATCGGAACTAAAGGTGTGTACCAAATTTCAGATCAATCTGACAACAGGAAGGTACTTAAATTTCAATTTCGAATTTTGACCCAAATAAACAAACAAATAAATAAATACCGTAAGGGTCGAGCTAAATAAAACCGTTTAAAAAAAGATGCTTTAAATTCCTTTCCGTATATTTTTAAACGATATATGGAATAATTTTGGCCATGTCTGTATTTCTATCTAATGAACGATCAGTCAAGATGTAGTTGTAAATTTGCTGCATACCTTATAAGTCAAACAGGTTTTTAGAATATTCTTCACTTCGTGATTTATCAAAATAAATTAAATTTTGAGATGCATGTAAAATTCAAGTTAAAATTTAAACAAAGTATACGAGTTCGTTTTTCTTTTTTTCCAGGGTTATCCATTTATAGATCCTCCTCCCAATGAGGAGAAAACTGATCTTTTGAAACCGAAAAGCGACTTGCACATGCGTGGATGTTCGTCGTCGTCTTGTTAGAACAATAAATAAATTCACAAGTAACATAATGACAATGGACCTGACTACTATTATTCAGCAAGTTATACAGGGTGAGTCTTAAATAAGTGCAAATATTTAAATGGCTTGAATATTTCGACCCGTAAAACACGATTATGATTTTTCGCGACAAAAAAAAATTGGATTTTTTTTTATTTTACTTAAAAAACATAATTTCTTGATAATATTGTAAAACAATATAATAGATTAAATTTACAAGAAAGAAAACCCAGAAAAGATACAGTGGTTCGCAAGATTTAAGCAAAAAATCATTTTTTTTGAAAATTTCAAAATAAAATAACTCGATTATTTTGGACTTTTTTGAAAAACGGTAAAGAGAAAATATGTTTCTTTTATCGAGATCTACTAGTCCAAAAAATATTTGCACTTATTTGAGGCCCACCCTGTAGTTAAGGATATTACCTAAGAAATAACATGCTATAATCTTAAAAATTCAGTTTACTATAGGTAGTACACTGATTAATAAATAATTTATATTACTTAATACAGGGCGGTCCTAACTGTATTCCGGAAACTTCGGTAACATATTCTGCAGATAAAAATAAGTAAAAAAGTTTGTATAAATTATAAATGTATATCCTAAAATGCTTAGTTTTGGAGATACAGGGTGTAGAAGTTTCATTTTTATTTCGATTTTTTCCAAATAATTTCTGAAGTAACGTTCATATCTAGATGAAAATTGATATCTGGGAGTTTTTTGACATGAGAAATTTGATTTTGATATCAATATGACTCCTACTTGTAGAGGGCGCCACCTACTTATTTTTTAACCGGTTTGAAGAGTAATAACTTTTCGTCCGTACCTGTATAAAACTACTGAGTAAAAAAATATACATTTACGACGTTTTTTACGTAAAAAAGGTCTCTTAGTAAAAATCGCTACGAGGAATGGTTCTCGAGATATTTGGAATCGAAATTATCAATACCTGTCACCATTGACATTAATTAAACATGCATGTGTTGACTAAATAATTATTAAGGCGGGTTCTCACTTGTCAGTTTCGCTGACGCAGTCCAACTGATTCAGTGATACTGAACAAATAATGAACGTCAGAACACATTTTAATGTTAAATGATCAGTACATTCATACTTTCAGTTAAAGTGAAAACCAGTTCTACACTTTTCATTTTTGACTGATCATTATCGAATAATGAATAGAAACTGAAGCGTGAGAACTACATTTTCGTGATTTGTTCAGTTTACAAGTTTTGAGGTTAGATTAATAATTCGCGTTAACACATCGCACATCGTTATTCAAAATGGTTTTCCGATGGCGTGATGAACACATGAATGGCATTTTTGGATAATTATAGAAAATATGAGTGCCTTTGGAATATCATCAACGACTTATACAAAAATAGGGTAGAACGAGGGAATGCCTATTTCCAACTTTGCAACGACATGCAAATACCAGAGTTAACGGTCGCTGTTAAAAACAAGATCAAAACGATAAGAAAAAAATACTATTAATTACTTAAAATGTTTGGACCAACTGAATACTGAATGTAGCAAAACATGAAACGTGTGAATACAATCGTTGTTTTTTATTTTTCATTGATAATGAATCAGTCAGACTGCGTCAGCGAAACTGACAAGTGAGAACACGCCTTTAGACTGAAATCATTAATTTGAACTGGTCTTGTGTCAAAAGTTCAATCGAAACTGTTTTATCATCATTTTTTTCGAAGAAAAATTTATGATTAATTTAAAAAAATAAAAGTCCCCGTATTTATCATTTCAGTCAAATAACTATCTACCCAACATGTTTATTTTTTGTCAATAATGACATGTAAATATGAAGGTAATATGACCATTCTAAATATCTTGAGAACGGTTGCTTGTAGCGATTTTTTCCAAGAAATGTTTTTTACGTAAAAATCACGGGACTGTATATTTTTTCACTCAGTAGTTTTATACAGGTACGGACGAAAAGTTATTACTCTTCAAAACAGCTAAAACACATGTAGGTGGCGCCCCTTACAAATAGGAGTCATTTTGACATCAAAATCAAATTTCTCATGTTAAAAAACTCCCAGACACCAATTGTCATCCAAATATTGACGTTACTTCAGAAATTATTTGGGAAAAATTGAAATAAAAATGAAATTTCTACACCCTGTATCTCGGAAACGAAGCATTTTAGAATATAAGTTTATACGAACTTTTTTACTTATTTTTATCTGCAGAATATGCTGCCGAAGTTTCCGGAATACAGTTCGGACCACCCTGTATATTATATTGAAGGCATAGAGTAAAAACTGATAGAGATGGCATGTTTACAAAATATTTTCGAAGACTTGTTAATATAAAACTCATAGAGATGTATAAAAGATAGACTAACTAAACGTTTTGATCCAACACATACAAACCAAACCAAACCGATTGTTTACTTACAGTTTAATTTTAAATAAAAACATAAAAAAATAAAAAAAAAATAAGAATAAACATAAAACAAATTATTTTGGCTTTTAATTGGGCTTAAAAATACACATAACTTGGATACAAGCTGTATCGAGTTAAAATATAAACTACAGGGTGTTGAAACTACTATTTGACATAGAGCAAAAAATTACTATATCTAGTTTTGATTCACCTTGTATTATTCCCGTTTGTATAAAGGGGTGTAAAGAATCTGAAGAGTGGAGATTTTTGTAAAACTTGCCATTTGTATAGTTTTATTACTCTATGGTTGATAGTAGCAGGTCTGTACTAGTAAAAAATTTATATATTTTAAGACTGCCCATTTCACATTCGCCACACCTTTATTTTTCTTTACCCTATAAAATAGGACGTTTTTTTGGGTCACTGTGATTTTTTTAAATTTAGAATTTAAAACTCTAAAATGTACAGGGTGGACGAAATTTGACTATATAGAGTAATATAAGTAATTAGTTAAATAAAATGAAATTATTATGCTTATAAAGTGCTTATACTTGCTGGCAAAATATCCGGGCACACAAATGTAAAGGCATGTTTAAAAGTAATTATTAGAAATGGTTTAAATTCTTGTTAAGCATAAGTACCAAATAAAAATGGAACTCAGTAATTTTATTTGACCATATACTAGATTTTCTTAGTAAGTTATTAAGACTGAAATAGAAATACATATTTGATGTTAGATTAATTAAATAGTTTTTAAAAATATATTATGATTTTATCACCATCTAGTATTAAATTAATTATAGTCATTTGTCAATTGTTATGTTGTATATATTTTTTTTTCAAATCAATAGAACTGGACAATTTTTAATACCTTAAAAAAGAAAAAAAATCGAGTCAATCAAAATGAATTTCTGCAAAAAATGAGTTTATGGTATTACTTGATATTACAATCTACAGGGTCCGGCAATAGTGCGTCGGGCATCTGTAGCTCCTAGAATAACAAAATTGAAAATTTCGTTTAAGTGCAAATTTAAAGTATGTATCAGGATGTATTTCAGAAAAATATTTTAACTTCTATAGGGTGGATCAAAAAAGTGTGAGTGAATCTAGATGATTTTTTTAAATGGAACACTCTGTATATTATTGCATTTTTGGCTTCCTTTCAGATCACTTTACATAATCCTAAGATATGAGTAAATATTTTTCGATAGTTTCAGAGATATTAATAAATAAATCAAAAATATTTATTTTTCAGCCCTTCTTAAAAAAATTATTAAAAATACAAGAACTGTTCTGAAATCAAAACTGTATTAGGTATTTACTTTAGATGGTCTGTTCTTACTTTTGTATAAATATGGTAATCGTAAATCATACAGGATGTTCAATATTCTACGCCAAACTTTCTAAAATATAAAATATTTTTTCTTTGTTTTTTTTTAAATGGTGTTTTATTATTTTTTTAACTCGGTTTTTTTATTAGATGGAGAGTTAAAAAATAAACATTTTTTGCAATTAAAGTATTTCAAAATTTTTAATAGTTTTGCAGATACACGCAGTATTATTTGTATATGTATGTATGTATGCTGGAAATGCTGGAAAACGCCAGATGAAATATAAAACCGCGAATATCTGTCTATTTAAAAAATAATATACATGGTGTTCCATTTAAAAAAACGAAGAAAAATTATTTTATATTTTAGAAAGTTTGGTGCGGGATTTTGAACATCCTATATGATTTACGATTTTCATATTTATAGCACAGTTAAGTACAGACTATCTAAAGTAAATGCCTAATATAGTTTTGATTTCAGGACAGTTCTTGTATTATTTTTTTTAAGAAAGGCTGAAAAATATATAATTTTTATTTATTTATTAATATCTCTGAAACTATCGAAAAATATTTACTCATATCTTAGGATTATGTAAAGTGATCTGAAAGGAAGCCAAAAATGCAATAACATACAGGGAGTTTAATTTAAAAAAAAATCATCCAGATCCACTCATACTTTTTTGGTCCACCCTATAGAAGTTAAAATATTTTACTTAAATACATCCTAATATTATTATATACTTTAGGTATGCACTTAAACAAAATTCCCAAGTTTTTTATTCTATGAGTTACAAATGCTCGACGCACTATTGCCGGACCCTATATATTTTGCATGCTATTTCCCATCAATAGATACTACTGATTTGAAGAAAAACATTCTATCGTTTTTACAATTTTTTATTTAAAGTAAATAGTTTTGAATTTTGTTCTAAAGAAAGAATAGTATTTGAATTGTAATTTTTATAACAATAAATTACAATATATCAAAATACATATAGGGAAACCTTGGAGAATATAGTTAGTACTATTGTATCGTTCTATACAATTGTACAAAAAATGTACTTTTGGTATATTGTGATAGTAAAGTTGTAAAAATAAAAGCTTATTGTAGACTAAAACTTGTATCGTTGATTGAAAGAACTGGGAAGATACGCAACCTAAAGGGCCCACTTATAGGATTTCCCCTTACGTCTCAAGTACTGTACGGTGGAGACACCAATCGTTCTGGGGTCAACGCATAAAACACTTATTTTCTTTAATTCGGTCAGCGAAGGCATATCGAAGACGGTGTGGATCTGAAAGCGACAGTGTTGCCATATTAAAATGTGAAATATCTTTAATACGTTTGACGAAAACTTTTTTGGATGAAAAATCCGCGTTTATATATTGAAAATTTATTCGTGTTAAACATA